CTTATAGCCTTATAAGAATTAGCTAAGCTGCTAGCTACGTACAATGTATTGCACACTTGATGCCTCTGTACCAAAAACATTCAATTTATTGGAACCTAATGCACACTAAAGGCAACAAGTTTATATACCAATTTGTCATTTATAGTACATTTATACTAAACCATGAATAACAATACCTCAATATAAATTAAAGACTGCCACTCAATATATTTAAATATATGAAAAAATTAAAAAAATAAAAAAAAAATCAAAAAAATCAAGTGATTTCATCACATGATTTAATCATTTTGATTTAATCACTGCCAACCCTGCTTTACTGGTCTACATATAGGACTCAAAACTGAACTTGAGGGAAAATCTAGAAAACTCTCTGCTTTGCCACTATGCCCTGGGCTGATAATATTAATATGGTGTGACTGGTTTCAGCCTGTGCTGTGTTTAGTCATGCAAGGGCAAGAGTGCTAAATGTGAATGGATTTGTGCTGAGAGATGATATAAGGAGGGAGGTGAGAAATTTTCGATGCATGAAAGGTGAGTGAATGTTGGTGGTGAGCAAGTGATGGTGTAACATGTATGAGTGATAGAGAAAGACAAGTGTTGATAGCGGTGTGTCCTAATTAGGGGGGTGTGAGTGTGGAATGCTGTTATATTAATGTGGAATGTTATCACAATGTTGTATATTTAATTATGATTGATGCCTATTTCTCATTTCAGAAAATAGGAAGTATATAAATGAACTGCATGGAATAGTTTGCAGTCTCAATACCAACATCATGAGCAGCAGGGGCAACACAGTGACACTTCTTCACCTCCTGCAATGCAACACATCTAAGGAATTTGCTAACAAGATAGTTCAGCTTTGTGCAAATCTTGTGAGTTGAGCCTAAATTTTGCCAGCTCATGTCAGTTGTTGAGGGCTTTAGAGGCCATCATAATTGTCAATTTGTGAGGCCTTGTTTTGATTTAGGATTGGAAGCACAATTGGCTGAATGGATTTTTGTTGGTTATGTGGGGAGGGCATGATTAGTGATATCAGAATTGTAATAATGGCACAAATTTTCATTTGCAATGAAAAAAGGAATTTTAGATTATCCATTATTTGGATTGTTGTATTTTTAATCTTGAAACAAAATAAATACTAAACTAATAATAAAAATCACATTGAAATTGCATAATTTATTTTTAATTGTAGCTGGGAATGATTAATTTCAGGGACCTTGTGTTTAATAGTGTTGCAGTGTATCAGGAATGTCTGCTAGGCAGGTGCTCTTATCAATCATTTCCTTTTTTATCTGACATGTTTTAGTACCTATTTTTCTTATTGTTGCATCACTTTTTCAGCCCAGCCGTGGTGGCTTGCTAAGCAGTGTTGTTGAAGGCTTGTCTGAGTTGAGCCGCCCACAACTGGATCTGCTATGGTCACTTGCTGACAGCTGCTTCACGGAATACATGAAGTCTTACCTCAGTCCAGATGATGGTGATGAAGATGAGCAGATGCAAACTGACTCCAATGCTTCTCCCAGAAGAAATTCTCTTGTGGCTACTGAACCTGATGTAGATCCTGATGATGACTTGGATGCAGTTAACGCAAATATTGTATTACAATGCATACTACGACTCATGCTTCTGTATATTCAAGCTTTGCCCATCCCAAAAGAAGATGCTGAAGAGACTAATATCAACCTGCATGTTCCTGCCAGTTTCACTAAAGTTGTGTGTAAGCACTGCATCTAGGATATTATACCTATGCAGCTTGGTAGACATATTTCAAGAAAGAATAAGTTGTAATTATCGATCATAACATCAGATGCTTTGAGCTGTGGGGGCTGACTAATGCAAAGTTCCAACCTGAAACCTCTAGCCCCCAATTCTATTTGAATTTTATGGTTTTGAATGGCTACTGAATATGAATGTTCTGAATAACATTATATGACTGTGCATTTCTTAGAGCATGTAAATTATTTAAATTATGCTTGCTTCAGTATTTTCTGAATCTGAATAGAAATTCAGCTGCTGTGCTGTTGTAAATCCTGCTCTACTGGTGGGAGTTTTACCTTTTTGAAATGTGTCAATAAACTCTACACACAAGAAAAAATATAATAGATAGACATGACTTCCTATAGTCTTCTGTTGACTCTTGTAATTGTTACATTAAATATTACTTGTTTCCAATTACCTAGTAACTAGTGATCAAGACAAAATAGATATTTAGCCTAGTCAACACATAATGAGTTCTTCTATTTTCTGTGCTGTTGCTAGAACTAGTTTGGCTTGAATTAAAAACGTTCAGAAGAAGGGTAAAATTAATAGAGGGAAATATTCAATCTATTCAGTCTGCTGAGTACATCCTTTTGTACCTTGACGACAGTGGTGGTGGGTGGGGTGCTGGAGGTGGTCGAGGATGAGGTGTGCACTTCAGCTGCTCTTCTCTGTGAGGAATACTCGATCAGAAAGCTGCCACACGCCCAGGTCTTTGCTCCTCATCTCTTCACTGTCTTGGTTCGATTCTCCCTTGAGAAGAAAGCTAAGGTTTGTTGCTCCAGTCAAATGATCCTGCTAACAATCCCCAGCAATGTGATGTTAAATTAGTTAAACACTTGATTTGCTATTGTGTGCTGTGCATAAAACTGATTCAGTTTGTTTTCTAGAAAAATTTATTTCAATTTACATTGGTTTTACTATTAAAACTAATTTTTATGTCATTCTGCAATTGATGTCATTACACATATAATCTTTAGCTAAAAGCATGCAGAATAATTAGAATTTTTCTATTCCAAACTTCCAAAGATAGGTACCTCTTTTGAATTGAATTATTTTGTCATACTTCTTTACCACAATGACTCTTGCTGAGCTCATATATCACTTATCATACCGCTCGTATCATTGTTCATATCACTCATCATATTGATCATATCACTTGTATGATCACTCAACATATTGCTCATGCCATATAACTCACCAACACTCACCATATACAGTGGGGGGAAATAAATATTCGTACACTTGGAAAATCGTATTTTAATGTATGTAAGTACACAAACTTAACAGGAAAAGTGATTTAAATTATGTATAGAGACGCATAGTATTCAAAAATACTATCAAAAGAAATTAAATCTCAATGCAACAAAAAANTGAGAGTGGAGGTCAAATTCCTTGGCCTTGTCTTGGCGCACAAGTGAGAGTGGGGGTCAAATTCCTTGGCCTTGTCTTGGCACACACATAAGATCAAAAAAGTGATGGTGTCAGTGGCATGATGAGTGAGTTTCTCATAGAAAATATCATCTTCTAAAGTTTAATAGCCTCGAAGTAGAAATGTATTGGAGCAGAGTTTGCTCGTATTTCAAAAACTAAACAATTTTGATATCTATGGTAATTTATTACAAAATGCAGAAATATTTGTTAGTTTTCATTGTAAAAATATTACACAACGTGTAATTAAGAGCTGCATTCATAGATTTGAAGCTATGAGTATCACAGAGATGTGCGTGCAGGAGCTGCACCGAGGCCTGTCACCGCAGCGTGAAGCAGTTCCTGCCGCGCTGCACCAAGACTCAGGCCAACAAGCTCGGCCAGGTCTACTGCAGGGCTTGGAGGGCCATTGACAACCAACACAAGAAGGTCCAAACTCGAGTCCCTCCCTGTTTGTTGACTATCGCAAACACTGCAGCTATATTTTTTTTTTAAGAAATATTTTTTTCTTTCATGTTGGCTTTAATTTCACTGTGTTGGTGCAGGAATGTTGAATTGTCAGTTAGCTTTCGTCTGCAAGTTATTGGAGCCTGTAATTGTAAGTAGGATGCTTATAATGAAGATGAGCCACCTTATTTCTATCAACTGATTTTAAATACATTCTGAATAAACTATTTTAATGTTCAGTCCGGCTTACACATACAATGAGAGATCTCCAATTGGCAGTCAAATTAATTGTCAACCATTTTCAATGAGTTGATAATTTTAATTTGTTTCACTTTTAATGAGATGAGATTTCATTTGACAGGATTTTGAGGATAAGTGCCTGCAGGACCTGATGTTCCGCTACGTCACAGTCCACCCCATCGAGTCAGCTCAGCTCTCCAATAACTTGCTGGCATTCCTGCATCCCCTGCACGTGCATCAGAAACTCCCAGCCTTCTCCAGCGTCCTGCAGCGCCTCTACAGCCCTTTTCTGTGGGGTCATCTCACCGTGCGTTGCAAATATCCTTAGGCTGAGCATATCATACATAGCTTAAAGTTTGTATCTCTGTCAACCAATCGGCTTTTCAGGTTAAACCTCTCAGTCACAGACGAGATATCCAACGCTAGGTGTACTTAGACCGCTAGGTGTATACGTGCTGCAGTCACGTGGACACGTGCTGTATACCTGAGCTAGTTTTGAACGTAAGGTCTCGGGCCATGATAGCAAACAATTTTGAGAGCTTGCTGGTCAATTCAATGCATCAGTAAGCTTGTTATTTTTTAATTCATACGAATGAATCTGCAGCAGAAACAGCCCTCCTGAAGGTTTATCTTTTGTAAGTGTTGTTAAAATTGCTTGTAGAATTCAATCAATATAGAGTTCCTCCATGAAATTATTTCGGATATCTGGAGAGCCTATTAAGCTGTACATGTTAACTATTGAGATACTGCACTACGACTTCAAGCTTTTAATGTCACTGCCTCTTTTCTTATCTCAATATCATTCAACATATCAGATTATAGGCAGGGACTCTCATGTATATTCTGCAATACAACAGGCAATTTCTAGAAATCTAGCAAGTTTTTTTTTGTATTTTCTCCTTTATTTTTAAAAATAGGGTTTCATAGTCTTCTGTCGATTGATTTATATTAACAGAGCTTTTCTGTTACTTCTTCAGTTTGGATATTATTTTACTTTATTTGAAATTGGGGTTCGGAGTTTTTTCAGAACAATAATTAAAATTTATACTCCGGTCTATTTAAAACTGTGCAGACAATCAGTCTGCTGCTGATTAATTTAGATTAACCGAGTTTTTCTAGCATATTTTGAGAATATTAATGTAATTGAATTGCTGTATTCGCAGATTAACCTGATATTTGGAAGCAAAGAATACGCCACGCAAGTTCAGCATTTTATTACAGAAAACGTTTCAGAGTCCAATCCAATTCTTAAACAGACGATATAGCTGAAATTTGACACCATTTTTATACAGACCTAGTGAATGTTAGTGGCTTATTCCTTGCTATTAAATTATTGGTTCCTTGAGAATAAGTTCTCAATATAGGTTTTGAGTAGTAATGACGTATGGCTTTGCAGTGCGCCAACGGCCTGGTGCGCGCGAACGCCACCAACGCGCTGTGCTCCGCCTACCCATTGGAGGATCTGTTAAGCCCTCTGGAGGAGAGAGACCAACACCTCACGCGCTGCCACACTGCTCTCACAGAGGCCCTCATGGACGACTGTGTCGAAGTCAGGATTATTGCCATTCAAGTAAGTGAACTCCTGATGTGTCCAAGAGTCCCTCACAGACCTACACAGGCAAATGAGCTCAAAAAATGCCATACCTGCTCCCATAGACAAGTGTGCTGCAGTCTGGATTGTTGCTGTACAGGCGCGAGAGCAGCTTGATGAATGCAGGCTACCACTCTGCATAAATAGTTTTCACCATCAGCCTGACAGCCTCTTGCCTGATGATGAAATTTTAGGCGCCTTTATTATTATTATATTCATTGTTGATGAATTGTATTGAATGTTTGATGTATCATGAGTGTTTTTATGGATGAAAAACGAGGTGACCATGAAAAATGAGGTGACCAAGGTTACTTGTATTTTATGTAGAATATGTTTGACTTCTTAATTATGCCTGTGAGTGTCGTCATGCAGGCGTATTGGCTGGCTGTTATCATGTATCCTACATCACCAGGCCATGTGCCGCATCATGCAGGCGTATTGGCTGGCTGTTATCATGTGTCCTACATCACCAGGGCGTGTGCCGCATCATGCAGGTGTATTGGCTGGCTGTTATCATGTATCCTACATCACCAGGGTGTGTGCCGCATCATGCAGTCGTACTGGCTGGCTGTTATCATGTGTCCTACATCACCAGGGTGTGTGCCGCATCATGCAGTCGTACTGGCTGGCCCTGCCAAAGGCCGTCATTCAGTCCTGGTTTGGGTTGTTGCTCACGCGTCTCGCTTACGACGCTTCATCTGTCAAAGTCAGGCAGCATGTGATTGCAGTGAGTATAATTCGTGTTTATTTTTTCTTAACAAGTGATGTAGGATAATAAAGGTTTCCAATGTAGGTTAATAAAGCTCAATGCTATGCAGTTTTTATATACATTGATAGCTGTGATGTGCCATGCTGATTATGATTACCAATATGAATGAAAATTCTTTAGAAAAACGCTCGACACTTTTCCACAAAGCAATTTTCTGGGCCCGATAACAATTGACCGCATCAGGCACAAAAGAAGTAGACTGCATTGTCAACATTCAACAAATACAAAAATCTAAACCTATCAGCCATCTTTGACTGCAATAAACTTAGTTCCACTGACAGTGATTGGGCTGCATGTTTAACAGTCCTACTGGCCCTGCCGGGCGTTAAATTATTTTAAATAATTGTCGTACGATCAAACTCTAAATAAAAAACGTATGACAATTCAAATCACACGTGTAGAGCATTATGTTACTCTAAATGAAAAACGTATGACAATTCAAATCACACGTGTAGAGCATTATGTTACTCTAAATGAAAAACGTATGGCAATTCAAATCACATGTGTAGAGCTTTATGTTACTCTAAATAAAAACATGGCAATTCAAATGATCAAATCACATGTGTAGAGCTTTATGTTACTCTAAATAAAAACATGGTAATTCAAGTCATAACGTGTAGAGCATTATGTTACTCTAAATGAAAAACGTATGGCAATTCAAATCACACGTGTAGAGCATTATGTTACTCTAAATGAAAAACGTATGGCAATTCAAATCACATGTGTAGAGCTTTATGTTACTCTAAATAAAAACATGGTAATTCAAGTCATAACGTGTAGAGCTTTATGTTACAGCTTACTCTAAATAAAAAACGTGTGTGCAGAGCGTGCGCAGAGTCGTGGACTGCAAGGACGCGCTGCCGTTCCTGCAGCAGTGCCTGCCACAGCTGCGCGACTGCTTTGACGACTGCAACGTCGCCGTGCGTGGGGCGATGGTCAAACTCTTGCTCAGGCTTCAGGCGCTCAGGCTTATCAAGTAAGCTATTTATTGTAATTCCATTGTTTATTGTAAATGTTTCATTAGATGCACATTATGTATTGCCATTTAAATGTTTACGTTAGTGTAAAGAAAGTTGTATTCTTAGCCCAAAAATGTTTTGATGCTTGTTTATTTAGTTTAGTTGGTGTGTTAAAATAACTTTTACTCCAGGATTTCTATTCATCCTTGAAAATATTTGCTTAGCACATCACCGTCTGTCCATCACGGGAAATTTCTGCATCTTTCGACGTCGAGGCACAAGTTGGGAATCTCAGTTAGGGTTTTGTTCACATTTCTTTCGCCTTAACTCAGTTAATAATTGGATGATATGTTGGTGCAGATACTGGAACGTGGTGCCTGTGTCGCACATACTGCACAGACTGGCCGTCGATACCACCATCATTGCCAAGCCCATCACCCGCCTCCTCGCACCCGTCTTCCTCCCAATACAGAAGAATGACGAAGTGCGTTGCTAATTTGTGCTTTCTTTGTGTGAACTTTTGTACGTGGATCTTTTTTTCTTCTGAAACTTTTTTCTTTGTACAAACTTTTGTACGTGAATTTTTTTTTCTTCTGGATCTTTTTTCTTTGTACAAACTTTTGTCTACTATGAGAACTTTATGTGTCTAAGCGAGTGAAACGGTGTCTAAGCGAGCGATCTTGTCATCTACCATGTTAGTTGATGGCTGCCACGGCCATTTGTCATATCAGTTATTCGAGTACAGCTACTGCAGAACATGTTGCACCAATGCAATAATAATTTGTTTATAGAGTTAAGGAAAAGCTTGAAGTAAGAGCACCACTTCAGTTGGCTCCTTTACACATGTATCTGCCGTGCAAACAGTTTAGCTTGCCATCACGTTTCATGCGTTCCTCACTTTGTTAATGTTTTAGATGTCCAGAACGTAACTAGGATTTCCTTCATTACAGGAGCTCTTGGAAAGAATAATATCGCTGTTGTCGGAGAACAGGCTGGCGTCGCGGGTATTTTACCAGCACATCAGCCAGGGTCTGGACGTGGGCTCAGTTGTCAGAGTCATGCTGGTCATCTATAAGGCGCTCAGGCGCCACCTCCTCTGGCAGAAACACAATCGTCAGTTCACACGCCTAGCAAAACTTGGTTTAATATTCCTATTGTTGTTCTGATGTGAACGATTTTTTGTGCTTTCAATTATAAATAAGCGCTCAGTTGCCACCTGCACGCCTGAGCTGCTAGGTATCATGAAGAATGCTTGCCCGCCCTACTGCCAATATTGTCTGTTCCAATCTCGTGCAACGCGACTAGTTATATAACAGTTGTACTAACTAATTTTCATGACGCTCTCAATTTCAGTTAATAGGTAACTAAACGAATAACATACTTGGCAATTCTCCACGAGATAGTCGTGAATGAAGATCCTGTACCGTACCTTCTATCGTTAAATACTTCAGTCGTGAATGAAGATCCTGTACCGTACCTTCTATCGTTAAATACTTCTCTAAATAAGTGTTTCTGACGCATATAGAGGACTGATGGGAATAAAAATCGTCGGTCTCAGAGAAATTCAGTACATTCTTATGTACTGCTGGTATGTGTGTGTAATCTGGACCTATAATGGCATGTGTGTTTAAATTTTCAAGTCTTTATATAGTAGGAGACTTGATTCCCGTAATTTATTATATTGTGTTAAAATTTCCAACCTAATTGCCGTAATGATAAAATATTGAGTTTATAGATGTATCACGAATGTACTTTCAGGCAGTTTAGAAGGACAACAGGCTGAGCAACCTCATGGCAAAAGGGCTCGAGCTTCTACGAGCGACAAAGAAAATACAGGTAAGCAAGATTCTAGCTTTATATAAGTGAAGAAAAGCTCTATCGTTTTACCTCTGCTTACCAATCCTACCATTATTTTGTCTTGCCTAGTTTGCTGCAGTACTTCCTAATTGTCGAATATCTTAAGGTTCTATGTTTACACGTGTTCAAATCATGGTTAAGAAGTGCAATGTTGTGCAGATACGGACACGCTCAACATGAGTGACGATGCACGCCAGGCTTGCACTAGCGCTAGCAGCAGCAGCAGTAAACGCAAGAACAAGAACTCGAACAAACGTAGGGAAGCAACGTCCGTGAAGAAGACTTCTCTACAAGGTGCTGCTGGCTGCTCTAAAAGCAGTGTTGAATCATCGTCCAGGAATATTCATGAGAATTCGGCCCTAGATTCATCATTAGATGAGTCTTGTGTTGATAGCAATATAGCCGCTAAAGCATCGGACTCTATGCATGACAGCTCGGGAGTGACAAAATCTGGAAGAATATCAGAGTCGAAGAGCGATGCCAGCAGCAGCTGCTCAGACGGGGATGACCCCAAGACGAGCCCTTTTGAGGACCTTGACATTGTGGGAGGGGCGCTGGACGCTGTGGTGATCCTGTGGACCGCCAACGCCACCACCCTCGCCCTCCCCCACAACGCCAAGTGGCTCGCCCTGCTGCAGGCCAAGGTCGCCAGGGGCCTGCCGCTGCTCTGCTCTGAATATAGGGTATGTTCACTATCAATCTTTTCCAGTACGTATTGCTGATGGTTAATAATTATGTTATCAATGAATATATACATACCTATCGACGATGATAAATAATTATGTTATCAATGAATCAATGCATATTGGTGATGGTTAATAATTATGTTAGCAATGATTAAATATATATTGATGATGTAAATAATTATGTTATCAATGAATTAATGCATATTGTAGATGGTTAATAATTATGTTATCAACGAATCAATGCATATTGATGATGGTAAATAATTATGTTATCACAAAATGATACACATCAGAAATTTGACTTGAATTTTATTGATAGTGTTCAATAATTGTATACACACTAGACTTACAATGCATACATGGCTTAAGCAGTTCATGAAATTGTGAAGATAACTCACACTTTGCTGTAAAATTATTAGCCATTGGAGTTATCGTCAAAACACAAAAGTTCAATTGATAACCATGCTAAATACGATAAAGGTAATGAATTTATGCATTACGTAAATGAGAGTTTATATATAGTGCTCACTATTTCAATTATTAATGATGTTAAAGATGCAAGGTAATTAATTTTTCAATTAATGACGTTGGGAGTAAATGTAAGGCTCTGTATTGTGCAGCACGAGAGCGACCTGTCACGCACGCTGCTGCACCTGGCGAGCTTCCTGCCGCGGTCGCTGGTGCCTACGTTGGTGAGCCACTGCCTCACGCGCCTCAGGGCCCTAGACGACTTCTCATCCGTCGACTTGTCCCTCGACGTAAGACCTTCGTTTGTGTTGAGGCTATCATCTCTGTTGAACTATTTATGTCTATTTTAATGATAGTTTATCAATTGCATTGTAATCTTTGTCATTTTCTACTTCAGAGATGAGATATTACATATAATTTTTTATTTCTGAAATATTTTCTATGAGCATGTCTCGTGATGCTGTTGAGGATATGATTACTGTTTTTTTTAGTTAAGAAAACTGACTCGTATTAAAATGCTGTGGCGAGAGTATTTATTCTATTGGTAGGTTTTTGATTGTTCCATGTTTGACTTTATTCACAGTTTCCTTAGTTGCATAATAATAACTCTTAAATTGACTGATTCTTTGTGTCTGCTTCAGCTTATTTTTGATTCAGTCAGGCAAATGCGCTCACCTGACGTACGTGTCGGCGCTATGCAACTGGAACCGCCTAGATGATCTGCTGGATATGATCCACGAGTGGTTGACGGCTGCTTTTGACTCGGTTCTTGCAAACGCTCCTGCATCTCAGGTGAGACCAGAGGTGACTGTAACGCTCATGTAGCGCAGTGCTAACGCTCCTGTAGCGCAGTGGGAATGCTCCTGTAGCGCAGTGATAACGCTCCTGTAGCGCAGTGGGAACGCTCCTGTAGCGCAGTGGTAGCATCACCGAGATAAGAGGAGTTGGCCATGGGTTTGGGCCTCAGGAAGCTTGGTTTCATTTTTCGGGGTCGCTGGTGCGTGACGCTTGGTAGCCGTTGAGAGTGGTGCTTGCTGCATAGCCTTGGGCGGGTGTCCCTAAACAAACGCTGTGTATTTGTTACCAGGGGGTATCTTGCGGTTCTAAGATGACGATTTGCCGTAATAATTTATGCTTTCAATTTTGATAGTTTCTTTTTTCTTGACACATGGAAAAAAATTTAGTTGGTGTAGTACGAAACTTGAATGTGTAGTAGACTTGAAACTTTGTAATGAGATGAGACATTCACCCAGGGAGAAAAATCAACTGCTGCGTCTAACTGCAGCGGTGCGAAAGAAACCAAAAGCCGTTCTAAGAACGTCAACACTCGAAATGTTCGATTCACTTTGCCGGTTTCTAAGAAGAATAACTCCGAGCCGAAGCCATTTGTTGGTATGGTGATACTGAAGGCCATCTTGACTCACCGGCTCAATAGGAATGCTCTCATAAACAACAACCGGCCGCTGCTGCTTAACCTGCTGCCAGTTATGGAGAGAGTTAAGGTAAGCTCTGCAAATCATGGCTTCTCTTTAGTAGAGGAAGCTTTCTATGTCAGCTTCTTCCTTGAATATCTTTTAAGGAGTTGGTCTCAATAGTTCATAATATTTTAAGAAACGCCACATTTAAGCTTGGTACAGGTTTTTGGCAATACAAAGGTAAAAATATATAGTTTTATGTAATAAAACCCATTAAAGGTCGTAATTTTGCGCTCGGCACACTCTTCTCTGGTGTCTCTTCCTTGGTGAAATTTATTTAGCTTTGATCTGTTATTGGGTCCTGAGTTTGTGCTCCTCTAAGAGACTGAAACCGTAAGCCATTGTGCTTATAGTGAAGCATTTCATTCAATTGATTTTTTAGGGGCTTTTTAAATTTTTTTTATATTTCCTCGCCGTCAGAGCTGCATCGAGGCTCGGCTACTGGGTGCACCAAGCAGCCGTCTCTGCCCAGACCAGTTGCTGCTGAGCTGTTGGCAGGAGTGGTTGTGTATCACGGCTCTCCTGCACCTCCAGCCTTCTGCAGACCAGCAGCCAGCCAAGAACAAGCGATCTACGTAGGTGGATCACTTAACGATTTCTTTGCTTTGCATTTGGCGCCATCTTTTACGAGCCCATGAACGTTCAGTTCGATTTCTTCTGTAAATTACGTCCGTTTTTATTTATATAGCAATTGCGTCCGTTTTTATTTCTTAAGCTGAGTCTTGGAACGAATTAGGTTTGCTACTCGTGCAAGTGACGTGCGGCCAAGGTATCTGTAGGTACAAAAATTGATTGTAGATTTACACTAGCAGCTTAATAAAAAAAAGAGCTTATTTTAGGAACAGAAAGGGATTGAATTCATTGTAACTGCATCGTCGCTAACTTATGCATATTCAATTTTCTAAATCTTTTATTTATTCAGAACAACAGACCAGATTTACTCAGAAGTTTTTATTCCTTAAATTCGAAATATAACTAACGCTATTCATTAACGCAAGGCATAACCTTACAGTAATTGTTGCCTTCCAGTGGTAATATCGATTCCCTTCATTCACAAGTAACTCATTTGAACGAGTGTAAGATAAATGAATTAATAGACTACCCACACAGCGGCAGGAATCCGCGACGGGAGCTCGTGAGCCTTTCCTCAGGGGAGCAGGATGCGGGGGCCGTGCAGGATTTTGACGCTGCAGGACGCTTCATGGAGTGCATTGCCTGGACCCAGAGGTAAGTGCATGTTTTTGGCAGTAAATAGTGAAGGTAATGTCACTAGCTGAGAAAACTTCACAGGGAGAGAAGAGGATTAGATTTAATATTAAGCAATGGTGTAGTTCAAAGTTATGCAATTCACTATGCCAAAAACAAGGGATTGAGTTAAGAAAATAGAAGTATCTATTATTTAGTTTTATTTTACTTTCGTTTACAAGAAATATTCCTATTCATTTGCACTGGGAATATGCCATAATTTCAATTTCGTACCTGGACATTAATGCGTATTATTTTTAACTACTGCAGGGAACACGGTAATTTTCAATCACGAGTGTAATATTAGATAAAATTCTTTATTCTTCTCGCGTGAAATTGAATTTTTATAACAGGTCATTCATTGAAACTGAAATTAGTCGAAAATGTTACAAAGAAAGACTAACGATGAAAGATATAATCGTAGCTAAGGTGGACGATTTTTACCTCGTCTGAGCTGTTATGCTTACAAACTTGAGAGTTCTTCATTTCTGTCATTAACTTCACAATGTTACGTTTATCATCTTTCATGGGCTTTTTTGTGGGTTTTCCTTCCTGAGTTTTATTGTATGGTTGAATGTAATAGTAATGGTTACTGAGTAATATTTTTGCAGATTTTTTGCGTAACATCCGTAAATCAAATTTAATGTGCAGATGCCTGTTTCCCTACCTCGTTGCCAAAACAAATGAAGAGGCCCGTGATCTGGACCTCAACATGACCTCTCTCAGCATCTCTGACGCCGCAACTCAATCGTCCTCTCACTCCAGCAGCCTTACTCCCCAAACAAGTCTCTCACTCAGAACTAGGAAGCGGAAGCTCTCACCTGAGGAAGCTGTAGTCGCCACATCCCAACTAGTCAGTTCAGAACACAGCAGCGTGGGCTCTACAGAAGACATGGTCAGGCTGCTCGTGTCTTCCTTGTTGCGGATGATCGCTGGTGTGATCGCCACCAGCGCTGCAACTCCAGCGTTGGTTGATGCAGGGACCAAGCTTGCAGTCCTAGCTATTGACAAAGGTCAGTTAGGAACCTAGTAATTTTTTCTCTGGTTTCTAGTCAGTTTGTACATTATGAGGTCTTCGATTTATTGGTTAGGTTTTCTGCTGCACTGAAATGTGACCAAATAAGATTTAGTTATGCTGATTAACAACATTCGTCTTCATGTTGGGCATCTATGATGAAAATTTCATTTATCATCTTTTCAATATATGTATAATCATAGTTAAGCAATGCGCGGTACTGAATTAATATATTATCAAATCGATTTAACGTCTTGCCTAATCTTGGAAGTTGATCACGTGGATATCGTGACGATGTATAAAATGGCTAGTGCTACTCGCAGTATGTAAATGATTTGATTTTTCTTTACTCGTCACTTTATTTGGAAACTTTCCTTCTCTCGCCATAAGTTGTACAATTTACAATGCTGTTATTACGTTGTCCTAATGCTGCATGAAAAACTAATTGACTACGGTTTTCTGAAGAGTTATATAGCCTACTACTGATATTTCTGCGTTTTAATGCAGCAATATTTAGTAATGAAAAGATTCAAATTTGAACAATAAATGTATTCATCTTTAATGTTTCAGACGGCAGTCCAGGCATAACTTCGTCGTGCCTCACCCTCGCCGCGCAGTGCCACCAGTTCCTCAAGGTTTACAGTGACAAGTACTCGGCGTACATAACGCACGCTGCTCAGAGCAGCTCTGACGGCACAGCAGCACCAGACTCGTCATCCAGGGAAGTATATTCGTCTCCCGACGAGGTGCTCTTCAACACTGCCTTTGACAATGCGATCCAGCGACTCTCGTCTGCTGAAGTCGTAAGTTTCTTTGTGCTGTCCCACCTTGTCACACTTTAAACATGATCAATAACTTTCTAAATATTAATTTTTACTCATACCTTGATCCTGATCCAAACGAGCTTGTTGCTTGGATGATAGTTTTGGAGAGCCTTATTCTATGTATTTTAGACTATTTGAAGAGATTATTCGTTTCAGTGGAACAATCTGAACAAAAAAGTTCAGACAATCAATACAACTAAAGCTCTACATGTATTGTAGAATGTTAATCGGACAGTAATCATGACTGAATTTCACAGAGATGCTAAATCCATATAATTTTTCAAGCATTTTCCCCTAATATAATTGCAATATTTATTATATGGTGCAGGGTTCGCTGTCCCGCTACATGAGCAACAGTCTGTCGTTTCTAGAAGGTCCGTCTCCTGAGAGCAAGAAGACAATGACTGCCGTGTTTCGCCATTACCTTCGTTCCTGCATATCCAGAATCTGTGATAGACGACTACAGGTGTATATTTCCCCTATCCAGCTCCAATTAAATCCATGCATCATTTCTGCTATTTAACTGGCGATTTGGCAAACGCAATCAGTAGTTTATGATGATGTATTGCACAGCGCGATGTTAAAGTCAATAACGTTGTTATATAATAACCTATCTCTTGTTAACTTTCACTACTTCTAAGTAATAATTTCGCATTAAATAGATTTTGAATAAATTCCTGTTTTGCACCTAGAAGTGTGTGATCAAATGCATGACACTGACGTCGCACCGAGATAATTTCCTTTATCGCGTATTGCAGCTGGCATTTGCTAATAGAATCAAACTGTTACTGTGAGCAGCGATCTATTTTCTGAAACCCTCCATAGTGACCATCGACGTTCCTATCCGACCTCTCGTGCAAAATGATAAACATGGTAACTATTTATATTTATGGCTCAATAGTGATATTGAAGCAAGTTCATCCTGATCCGCAGTCGGCAGAAGACGTGTCAGGGAGCAGCGTCGGAGCTGTGCTGAGCGTCACGACGACGAGGGCTGCTCTTGCTCGCCCAACTGTGGCTGCGTTGCTCTGGGCCTCTGCTAATACCTTACAGGTTGTTAAATTTATTCATGAATGCCGCTTGAAGATTACACTTCGTAATAATATATTAATCGTGATCATGCACTTGTTGGGTGGCAATAGTCTCCCTTTAAAACAATTTTCGTGTCATAGGATTTATTTTTTCTTGCAAACTTGTATGATTCTTGAATTTTACCTGGTTTCCAGACCGACTCAGATCGTGAAGCGGCGTTGCTGATCGTCGAACACCTACGGCAGCAACCAGGCAAAGTAACGGAGCGGGAACTAACGAGTGTTGTGGCAGTCATCAATGCCTCACGTCAGAAGGAAGCCGTCTCTTCGGTTACAGCTCAACAGCGACTCAGAACAGATGCCTTGAGGGAGAGTTCGCCCAATGTTTCAGGAGACAACATTGAGGAGGAATCCGCAAACGTGCCCAAACGCATCGATAGAGACAAGGTAGGGGCGATTTAAAATTCTGCACTTATCGTTTAGAATTATTTTCATAAAATGTTAAGTTGATTTACGCGTTGCTTGCAAGATTTACTGAAGCTTTGTATTTGATTGAAGCTCTGCATTTAAAACTTTCTGAATGTAAAGTATATTTTTGTGGTGAGCGTAAATATACCCGGCAGCATAATAATTTTCAGAATATGATTGATGAACTGTAAGTACTGTGATGCAATTCGGAAACTATTCCAGGCATCCTGAAAGTATGAACTATTCCGGTACCAGGTAATGAAGAAGTACTTACATAAACAATTTCTAAAGGGTTTTAGAAAATTTCGCTGATAGAATACCCATTTATAAAATAAACAAAAATTTCAATGCGTTTTAATGAATCACTCGATCCATTGAAAAAAATTTCTAGTGTTGAGGGAATATATTCGAATTTAATGATGATGACTTCTACGGCAGAATGAACGGGGGCAGAACAAGGAGAACGTCGCCAGTGGGAGTGGCCAGGGTGCGCGCTCAATGTGAACGTCTAGTTAGTAGCTGATGGTTGACGGTAGCGATCTCGACGTAAAATGATCTTTTGTTGTACAATGTAAGGAAAAGTTGTATTAGCATTAACATGACATTATTCCTTGTCCTGGCATTATTGTCAATAAGACTACATTTGATACCAGGTTGTTTTATTTATGTTCATGAAACGGTTCATTGAAGAAAAATTAAACTTTACCATAAACTTGAATTTTATTACCCTTTTATTAGTGGGAATAGTTAAACATTTTTGTTGTAATAAACAAGAAGTATATATAAATGTAAAGGAGGACGGATACCTTTTAGATATTCGGCAAGCACGAAATAACAGAACCCAGATAACCGATTTACGAACGCTAGCAATATTTTCAATAGAATGTTTACAAAATCATTCGGCCATTTCAACTATCAAATAGTTCTACATTTCCATTGAACTAAATTTTTCGCTCATGTATATATACATTCACACCATACCTCATATATCCTTTTTATAAGTTACAAGTTTGTTCAGGAATTCAAGAAGAACCCCCAATTTAGGTAGAAGAGAGCGTAGTAAATTGCGTATAACTGAAGATACAAACTAATGATGTTGAAGCTTCAGTCGAATTTTCGTGTGCTGTACTTGAACCACTGTTTGGAATTGTAGCAAGAAGGGTTGCTGCACATGGGGCAGTTCACCAGAAACTGCGGCGAGCATCTGTGTCCTGATTTAATGTGACGTGACACCTCGTCCACGAGAGCGTCAATAAAGAGAGGATGATCATTAGGAGCGGCACACCGACGAATGCATTCAGCACCAACTTCGTTGCCGACGTCACGCGCGTACTCGATGTCCAGCTCGTGGAGGGTCTCGATGTGGTCGCTCGTGAAGGCGATTGGTACCAGCAAAATATTAGACTTGCCGCGTCGCACGAGGTTTTTGATGGAATGTTCAGTGTCTGGAGAGAGCCATGGCAAAGGCCCAACTTTGCTCTGCCAAACTAGTCTATAGGGATTACAAAAATTCAGTTCCTTCATTACTAGTTGCACTGTTGCCCCCACTTCGCTTGGATAAGGGTCCCCTTTTTCCACTTGGCGCAGAGGAAGGGAATGCGCCGAAAAAAGTATGAAGACTTCCTTCCTCCTCTTTTCAGGAAACAGATCAAGTTCTTTTTTGATGTTGTCAGCAAAGCACTTGACGAGGTAGGGGTTAGTGCACCACCTATCAATGACGCTCCATTTCATAGAAGATTCTTGTTTTTTATTAGCATAAAACTTCTGTATGGCATTCATACTGGAACCTGTAGTGCTGCAGCTATACTGCGGATACTGAGAGAACGCAATGCAATGTTCCACGCCATCGTTCTCCATGGCTTCCAGAGTGTCTTCAGTAAGAGGGTTCGCATACCTGAAGGCGACGTAATGCTTGTGAGGCGCCGAGGCTGGACACTCGGCGTCCAAACGCTCACACAGAAGGCGCCCCTGCATGTCTGTCCACTTGAAGATAGGCGAGCCGCCGCCTATTTCTGAATACTTCTGCACGATGCTCGGGGTGCGGCGCTTGGCAATCCAAGCTCCCAGATACCTGCACATCAACAATATAGTTGATCAAAGAGAAGCAACTTGCCTTGAAGCCTTCAAGACCCAATTCAGTATATGCTATACATATGAATAGGTCACGTTGACAAAAAGTGATTAATCAAGTTTTGAATACTGCAGAGAGCTAACTGCTCGGTCACATCAAGACTTATGGAAAAATTAAAATTTAGATTGCTATCATAAATGTCATTGCGATATCAGAGGGCAACCATTCAAGTGTCAAGTTTGACTTATATGAGCTATCTAGGGTTTGAGTGATAAGAGTGACCAATCTTGATTCAGAGGTCGCAAGTTGTCTATAGCATTAGTTTTTTAATAGCTTTGAGTTTTTATAAATGAACAAAAGTGATAGTTTCTGTGTAAATATCAATGGTTAATTGTTGTAGTTTCACTGACAAATTTTCAAACTTTTTTTTTCAAGTGGACCCAAGGCAGTCAACTGCAATTCAGGGCACTCAACAACTGCCATCAGCAACAGTGACAACTTTGAATTTTTTCATAGATATTTTATCACTTCTAATAAGAAGACTACCGTACATGCTTTGCTAATTTTTATTGATTGATAATACATTGACCAATGTCTTTTTTGTTTTTAATTTGTTTTGTTAATTTTTGCGAGCAAGCAGCATTGTCACTGGGAGTCAATGCACAAGCAATGCTACATGGCATGGATTATGCAAACAACCAAACAATTCATTATGTGTATAAAATGTATCTGATGATTGACACAACGTATTTTGATGCTTAATAGTGATTAACGATCCTCAGACATACAATGACAGATCACATCAATGTTATAGCTTGTCATGCTCTTGTCTTATAGAACTGTGACACATTGGCTGCCATAGTTACAGTGGGGGGAAATAAATATTCGTACACTTGAAAAATCGTATTTTAATGTATGTAAGTACACAAACTTAACAGGAAAAGAGATTTAAATTATGTCGTCTCTATACATAATTTAAATCACTTTTCCTGTTAAGTTTGTGTACTTACATACATTAAAATACGATTTTTCAAGTGTACGAATATTTATTTCCCCCCACTGTAATTTTTGCTTACAAGTGAAAAGTGGAAATGATCAATTTTCAGTTCAAAAAGGTTTTTAATGGCCAACTGCAATGATTAAAAAGTTCATATGATTTTTAGATTAATGTTAGATTAAAACATAGGCTGTGGCATTGGTGGAAATACCAATACACAATTCTAAATTGCAAATGAACATTGCACATTTTTCCCAATCTTTCATTAGCTTTGCATTCACCTAAGTTTTTAAAGGAGTTTGATTCATTATATCCCCACCTACTTTTGCACAGGAAGCTGGATGATATCTCGGTCTTGGAACAGCCGCAAGAGGAAGTCATGCACCTCATCTGTGGTGCGAGGACCTCCCATGTTCAACATCAGCACCCCAGTCTTAGGCTGCTCATTCATTCACAAATGTTTATCAAATGAAATTTAAAAATCTTAGTATAGGTATGCTTCAAGCATCATTATTTTTTTAGAAAATGGACAGGCTCAGTGAATGTAATTCATGTTATGTGTTAAACATAGGCTAAATGAATGAAATTCATGTTATAGAATTATACCTTTGTATGTAAACTCCTTTGTGGCTGCAGTGACATGAAACTAGAGGAGCAACCATGCCACAGTCCAGAGCTTCTCAGGAGCCCTACAGGAGCCAAAACAATTATTTTCTCCAATATAAATTATTATATTCTAAATAAATTACATGACCGATAGTTTAAATCATGATAAAAATTAGGACTACAACAATATAAGCATGAAGTATTTTATAAATAAAATATATAGGTATTTATACCCATAGCATCATACCATACACATAATCTATACGTAAGTGTAAAATTGTCTTGTAAGTTTCTCACAGATGGTAGTCATGAACTCATGATGTACCTAGGTTGGTATATTTAATATAGAACTAAGATGGTATTGTTTCAGGATTCAAAATTCAATGGATCAACTATTTGCACTGACAGACTCACCAGATAAATCTTTAATACAAAGATGTCGGAACATTGTTGTCTTTATTGCCATGAGTTTTCAGCGTCAATGAATCTCTCCTCTAAATTCAACTGTAAAAAAAAATAAATAGAATGAGGAGTAAGATTAAGCTATCAAAATCAGCAAATACATATTTTTTAGATTTAATAATTACATATCTAAGTATCCAAAATTGTGAACAGTGATAGACCTCTCTTTGAGCCATAAAAGGGCTTCCAAAATAACTACCGGTACCAGATGTTTACAGACATCAAATAAATATTACACCATGAATATTCAGTTCACCAAAGTTAAGAGGCTTGACTGTGAGGCTATAACCTACACAGAAAGGCTCTTGATTTTTGTGAACAGAATATTTATAGTGTAAAATTTATTTGGTGGCTGTAATCATCTTGTTGGGCTCACACAGTGCCATCATCCCTACAACGCCATCAACTTGTTGGGCTAACAGCAACGCCATCAGCCCTACAAATAACTGACCCTAGTAGTCTAGTTCTATCATTGCGCACGCACATCATACACATGCACACTTTCCCTATTCAAGATTTAAACCCTCCACACAACTTGACACTTAAGATGTTCTCAACTTCTCACTTGCTTTAGTATGTAATCCTTGCAGACAAGAACTTTCCAAGTCCTATGACTATGAGTAGATTAGTGAAGTTTCCCATAGTACTATTATCATAAAGATAGAGTGAAATTTTCAACTGGATCACAAAATGGAAAGTGAACCAGTTCCTATAAAATTTCTTGTTTGCTGCTATGTGCAGGGCTTTCGTTTGATTATGTATGCATTCTTTTTCCACATAAAACTAATGTAATAGTAATAAGTAATTGAATAAAACCCAGTTAAACATAAAACTAGTTACTAGCAACCAGAAAATTAGAATAATCATCCTTAACAGTTAACACAATGAAAGTAACTAATAATTGAGAATAATAAATATGCTTTTTCTGGTATCCAAATAAAAAACGGAAATACATTTTTCGATTATTTGAAACTTTACCCGCAATTTTAGAAAACTTTTGCCCAATACTCCATAGAGGCCTGTGGCCCTGTGTGGGGCATTTGAAAGCTAATAAAATCATGACAAGTCAACAACCGACCAGTGGGTTGTATTGCACTTAGCATAAACCATACAAATGATAGTACCGTAAAATGGGGTAATTTAGACTACTTTTTTATTTAACCCTTTAGCGGGCAAGCATTGAAATATCCAGAAATTAGAATTTCAGAAACCATTTCAAGAAAGTACGAAGTATTGTACAATATACTGTATTTATATTTATGAATTTTTGCAAATTTTGCCTATTGAAGGTTTAAATTGCACTTGAAGAATTCAATAAATGCGATCAGTACACAAAATTTTTCTTTATAATCAAAATTCAGTTTATGCAAATGAAAAATTAGAAACATAAAAATTTAATTTAATTAAATTTAATCAAGTTGCCAAAATAAAGAAAGATATATATTGATACTTCCACCTTTTGAAGAAAATGCGGAAAGAGCATCAATTCCATTGTCCGAGTCAAAACCTTCATTTAAATGCTTATATTTCAATTTGTGGACTTTGCAGCTGGTGATGCTTTAGATAGAACGATGGTCAGATAATTAGTGATTGACTGAGGCATTATAAGGATGCCTCAAAAACAAACAGGAAGCCGTGGTGAGGCTTTGTGTGACGCGATTTCAAGTGATCATATATGGTAACTTACCCGTGAAAGGGTTAAAACAATGCCATTTTTTTACTAGCTAAATTAAACTTAAATTGAAACATGCAAAATACAGGTCTATACTTTGGGTTCACTCACCATAAATTGCTGCTCCTACCTATCATAGTTTTGATGTAATTTCAAAAAACGTGATGGTCTTTGTTACCCCAGCTCCTGGGGTATCTCAGACTGGGTGGTAAAATCAATTATATTTTTTGGTAAAATAGCTCCAAATAACTCCAGGTTTTGGTGCATTGTAGTAGAACTCTTTTAGTCACATATGCAAATGACAAATTTGAGGAAAGTGTCACAGTTTGCAGATGGGGGGTGCCGCCCCTGAATGGGGGAACTTAGACCACCTAATGTCAGCCGTGATGGAGTAATATTGACCGGCTTGGAAATTAAGTTAAATTACCATACATAAGACTCTGTAGAGTTTGAAACATAAAGAAAAAACATTAATAGGTGTATCAAACATAAAATATGTTATATATGGTAATTTTAAATTAATTTCCAAGCCGGTCTATGTTACCCCATCAGGGCTGACATTAGGTGGTCTATGTTCCCCATTTGGGGGCAGCACCCTCCATTTACAAACTATGGCACTTTCCTCAAATTTGTCATTTGCATATGTAACTAGAAGAGTTCTATTACATTGCATCAAAACCTGGAGTTATTTTACCAAAAAATAAAAAAATTGGAGGAGTACTCCAACAGGCTTTAAATAATAGCTCTTTTTCATGGGTCACATTTTTAATTTTTTAACCTATTAGATATGTAAACTTTTTAAATCTTTCTATTGTGTTACGAAGCCTCAGTATTAGGCCTTTGATGCCCATTGACAAAATTTTTTTATGTCAAATAGTTTTTGAGTTTAGGGGTTTTTGTTAAAAAAACTAAAAGTGGTCTAAGTTACCCCGGAAGTCTAAGTAACACCATTTTATGGTACAATACATGCTAACAGACAAAGTTTTTATAATGGGAAATTCCACTAAAAGTACAAGTCAGCCTAATCAGGCCAAAATGCACTAAAAAAATATAGGGGAAACATGGTATATTCCGATATCGTGGGTAATTCCGACACTTCTCAACTTTTTCCTTTATATTAAGCTTTGTCTTAGTTCCATGCATTTGTTGATGATTGAAATAGTGACGTGTTAAAGATTTGTCTCTTAATATGACTGCAAAGAAGTAAACTTAATAAAGTAATTACAGCTACCGTGACTACGCTGTCAAGCAGACTTTTTGATGATGCACACACTAAACACGCAATTCATGGGAGCGAGACTAAATAGAACAACAAAAGCAGGCGACCGGCAAGCAACTGCGAAAATAAATGACGATCGCGGCAGCGTCGGCACGGATCATAACGTTAATATAGTCAATGCAAGAGAATGATTAATTATGATATTTCTGATAGAGATTTGAAATATTTTCGAAAGCCTAAAACTATAACAAATTATTTCGTTACTTTGACATGGTTGATTTAAAAATAAATATTTTAATGCGAATTCATGAAAAACGTTTAAAATAAATTGAATAATGTTCATTTATATCTATAGATGGGACTAATTCGACAAAACAACTACAAATCAATTTATTATCCTTTAAATAAGAATCTTTGCATTGAAACTTCTGGAAGATGTGTCCACCGCTATATTTGTACAGTGGTATCAAGAGTCAAAGCCGTCAACCGATCGTTGGATGGCCGCAAATATGTCGCATCATTCTACCTATTACAGTCAATAGAACCTAAATAAACTCTGTTCATCAAAAGGACAAAAAGCTTATGTATCAAACATACGTGGTAGTACAATAAATTTTGAGATCTCCAGTCATGAGACTTAAATTCAAACTCATAGGTGATCTTGAATTTCTGCACTGCGTTCAATTAAGCAATTTGTAAAATCATAAATTTCAAATAGGTACCAACTTTTTCAATTTAATTCTGAATGAGTCGCGTCTGTTGAATTCCAGGGTTGGCGATTTTTTTTATTTTTTTAAAAAAACAAAAAAAATAAAAAATCAAGGAATTTTTTTTATTTTTTCATGATTTTTTTTATTTATTTGATTTTTTTGATTTTTTCAGCTTTTTTGTATTTTTGAGGTCTTATTTTTTATGTTGCAATTAGCCTACTAACAATAACAGTATATGGATCATAATGGATGGCTAAAAAGGGCACTTATTGCCTTCAATAATGGCCAACAGGCCAAGGTGATGTTCACCACTTAGGGATTTTTGGGTAAACAATTATTGATAAGTCTATTCATTAGCTTTGTAAAGTTTGTATGGAGCAAGGTAATGAGCTAAATATTGACCATTTAACTGGCTTCAATATACAAAAACACTTCAGGAATGCAGATCTCCTAAACATTGAAGAGTCACAAAACAGATAGGTAGCTGATAGCACAGTGCACAGCACTATCAATAGATCTACTAGTTTTATGTCCTATAAATCTAACAGACTCTACCCTCTATACACACCGACTAGTAGTGACTGAGTAACTGACTGCACTGTTCCCATTTAATTCGGACCAATAAACCAATACTAAACATAAACTGAACGATAACCAAACAAACCTCATATGACATGAAACGAGATTTAAGTTATGAGAAAAGCTAACACTGTTTGAAATAAACATGTGCACAATTCAAATATTTTATATCCATTCACTGCATTTAATTATTTTATATATAGTCTTATAATTGTAATTGTTTTGTTTCTAGTTTCAAATTCACATATTTAAAGATTGAAATTAAATATTTTTATTAGAATACTCGTATTAGGGTGGAAAATCATTCTAATCTAATTGCATAAAAGTTCAATACAATATCAACCTCTCAATATGAATATACAGGATAGAGCAGAACCGATTGAGCAGTTTTGAGGTAAAATAAAAGAGTAATGGAGGTGCTACATAAAGAAGAAAGTTTATTTTCCTAGAGGTTAGCATAACATACCATTTAGAATACTTATGGTTTGAAAACAATATCTGGAAGATGGGGGCCGTTAGCTGCAACACACTGTTGGAGTCGTTCTCAAAGGAGGGAGTAACCGTAACAGTGAAATCCAATCGCTATGCTGCAAAATTTCTTACAGCCCATGATGGAAAACATTGTTGAAAATGAAGCATTGAGAGACGTGTGGTTCCAGCAGGATGGGGCTACAGCTCACACAGCTTGAATGTCACTCAATGTTTTGAATCGCATGTTTCCCGTAGGTCTGGTGTCTCTGAGGGGCGATTTACAGTGGCCTGTGAGGTCACCTGATTTGAGCATTTGCGATTTCTTTCTTTGGGGACATCTAAAAGAAAGGGGTTCAGAAGTTGCCCTCACACCCTACCACAGCTAAGGGAA